GTGCTCTACAGGCTTTAAAATAAAATGATGAAGCAGGTCAGTTCGAGACTTCATGTGTCTGATACTTGGAGTTTAAAGCATTTAAAGCACATGATTGTGAAATAAAACTGCTGGAAGGACCTGACGGTTCACTCCGTGTGACTCACCTCATTACAGTCTGTCACGGGCTGACTCAGTATACAACCAGCCGCTGTGTTTTTTCCACAGTTAGGATTCTGAAAGCCTCCGGCCCTGACAACCCGTGATGACTTCATTTAAGAGGAAAAGCTAAGATGGTTGCTGGCCTTGGTCAGCGAGGGAGTGCCCAGGAATGTTTCCCGGCTGTGGCAAATATTTGGCCTTCCAGAGATGTGAGAGGGCAACACTTAAACAGAGGAAAGAAACGAGCGCTCCTCTCATCTGCCTCGCCACGCTGCCGTGGAAACAGATTCCTGAGCCTAACGTGCGCGACGCTTTATGGACTGTGGTGTGTTTGTGCAGACAGCTCATCAGAATGTGTGTGTGAGGCGTGAACAGCTCAGGGGAACATGGAGGCTCACTTTGAACATCATCATTTCCACTCAGTCACTCAGCTGTGTGAAAAATACTCCGGTGCTCCTTCTGAAGCTTACAGAGGTGTGCTGCGCGACACACTGACGCTTCATGAACCTTCACTGTGTGTCCCTGTGGGTGATTGAATAAGAAATATCTGAAGTTGCTCCAGACTTAGATACGAACAAAAGTGATGTACAGACACGGCCCAGGATGCAGGAGAAACACAAAACATCACAAACACCAAACCTCTGACTTGTTCATCGCCCGTCCAACACTAACTGTGGCTGAGCGTGGGGAGGTCGATCCAACGTTAAATCCACACTTTCACATTCAGCTCTCTTCCACAACCATCTCCTGCTTCTTCCTTCTCCCATCTGTGGATAAAACCCTGAGATACTTGAACTCCTAAACTTGGGGCAGCAAATCCACTCGGTGGGCGGTCCACTGAGGACCACAGCCTCACTAGTGCTAACGCAGTACTCGGGTGTGAACCGCCCACTGTGACCAAGAGGTCATCAGTCAACAGAAGCACCCGTCTGAAACAAGTCCGACTCACTGCAGGACACCACACACACTGCAGACAGCAGACAGCATAGTTTGAGGAACTTTCAGCAGATGCTGTGACGTTACTGTCAACTCTTCTGGGGATGATACTCGTGCACCACCGCCTTAAACACCTAAAGTAACTGAACATCATGATGTGTACCGTTCAGACATGCTGGGAAGCAACGCGTTTCTGTCACGTATCCTGCTGAACAAACTGTCCGTGTACGAGTCGCGCAGCTCTCACAGATCATGTCGCGACTGAAAAGCCAGAAGTGCCAACTTTGTAAGAAACATTCATTGTTGATGGACGAGGTCCAACAGATACCTTTGCCATACCAGGTCACATGAGCCAGACACACACACACACACACTGACCAGCCTACATGCTTAGATTATGGGGATGACATCATTATTGGAGGCTGCCAGTGCTGCCCCTCAGCCTATGGACGCAGCTATGGTACGAATTTGAAAATCCTCAGTGGTTTTCAGAGAAGTTGACCTTTGACCTCATTAGGTCGTCGGGATTCAAAGTTGTCCCGTCACCTTCTTCTTAAGCTGTCATATTCACTTCAGGCTGCGCTCAGCAGGGGGTCGCCATGGTGAGTGCCCCATGTGTGCGGTACACAGGTAGGACTAGACAACACAAACTGAAGGACTGTTCAGAGTGTGGATGTAACACAGCTGTGCTGGAGCAGCGTCCACCTCAGCTTCTTATACAAATCAGCCTGAGAGGAAAGGCTGAGCATTACCACTGTGCCTCCATCCAACAAAAACACACAGGCCATCCTCTCTGAACAATGACGTAAACTCTGTGTGAAAGCAGACGCGAAGGATTAAAGAAAATAAACACAAAGCTTTCACAGAGCGTTCCTTTTTGCAGCAGACCAACTCTGCCAGCCTGAGCGGTGCTGTGGTTCGTTTGTAGACAGCCCATAAACGACTCTGTAAAGCTACCAGCTCAAACACCAACTGTAGTGCCAGTGTGTTACCCTGTGAGTTTTGCCACTTGCTACCAGGACTTCTACCCGACACGAGACAGTAATGTAAATTTCATCATTAGACGACGAGTTAAAGTTATCGTGCTGTCGTCTGTAAGTCTGACAGTTTTGTGCGACTCTTCCGACTCGTCCACGGAGCCACCTCACTAAAACGCACCAGAGCCTCCAGCAAGCAGATGTCAGTGAGCATGACAGGAAAGACTAATCGGCCACAGCTGTCCAACACTACAGTCCCCACATTACAATACATGCTATCACAGAGTACAGGTGAGCATCCACACTGTGCCCAGAGAGGATGCAATGAAACGCTGCGGCGGACAAACGGAGTTCTTACAAAACACATGAGGAAACCTAAGTGGTGCGCCTCAGAGGTGCTTCCTGCTGCGCCCGCTCTACTCGACAGGACAAGACGTTCTGGAGACACCGGTGTCCATTTCCCTTTAGTCACAGCTAATGATCATGGTTTCATGTCATGTGCTCTGTACTGGATCATCTGTCACTTCCACCACCTCCTCATAGGCCTCTGCAATATCCTGTGATTTTCAAAATAAACGTCCGGAGCCGCATGCGGCTCTTTAGTCCTTACAGTGCGGCTCCGCGTGGTTTGGGAAAATAAATTAGAAGTGTTTAGATGAAGTGTATTTTATTTATATTAGTTCTTTTTTAACTTGTAGTTCTAAATTGGAAGATTATTGTGATATTGAAATATAAAAATAAAATTCTATTATTTTTTTCATCGCTCAAAATAAGCGTCACACTCGTGGAAGCTGAAACGGCGTGCATTTATCGAGACTTTCAGCCCCACGTAGGCCAGTTATGGATGTTCAGATCCACATTATGTCAGCAGCTCCACCGTGAACTCTGTTAAAACAAACACGCTGACGCCTCACAGACGACAGCTCACAGTCCTGTAAAGATAAAGAGACTTCGTACAGCCCCGACCTGCAGACGCTGTGCGCAGAGGTTCAGGAGCAGAAGTCCCGTTGTAAACATATCACAGCAGACCCGACGATGTTTGCATGAACGCGCTTTACAGCTTCTCTTTATTGACCAGTTTACACACACAGTTGCTGTACGCACACAGCCGGCTGTAGCTTTGCAGCTCACAGCCCCACACATACCACCAGACGTTAAGGCGGCGAGGCCTGATTGCGGGTGCCGCTCAGGTGTGTCCGCCTCCCCTGCAGCGGCGCTGCAGACCACGCAGTTTTTGTTTGCTGGATTATTTTAGTTCAGCTTTTGTTGTATTTCTTTAAGAGTTCAAAATGTGTTCATTACATGAATAAAATGTAGTTTTCTCTGTAGCACTTCATGGAGTTCATAATAAATTCATCTACGTATTTTATATTCTTTACATTTGATCTTTTACATTGTGTGTTGATTGTATTGTTTATTTTAATATTCGTGTACAGCGCTTTGTGACTGCCTGTCTGTGAAAAGCGCTTAATAAATAAACTTTTACTTACTTTAGTTGTTCACACAAAGCATAAAGGTAAAAATCAATATACACAGTGTTATCTTCATTTTAGATGTCAACAAGTATTTGCAGCTCCCATTGTTTTCTTTTGCGTGGAAACTGGCTCCAAATGGCTCTTTGGGTGCTAAAGGTTGCTGACCCCTGACCTAAGCAATCATAGACGTGTGCTGCAGCGTGCAGCTGCCAGCCAAAGCACGATTACACTGCACAGCCGAAAAATTTCACTGCTGTGTAATGTTTGACATTTGCTGTATGTCAGTGTAGTTGGATTAGCAGGGCGGAGTGCGTGCTGGGAGGCGATGGAGCTGGAAGGTGTGTAAGGTCCTCTGGAGTTCGGTATGATAACAGTTCAGTAAACCAGTTTGAGAAGGTCCGATTCTGCTGAAATTCCTCATGAGCTTTGGCAAAAGTACCCGTGTGTGTGTGTGTGTGTGTGTGTGTATTAACATGTTCATGGGGACCACAAATTGGTGGTTTACTATGCTTGTGGGGACCAGGATTTGTTTGAAGGCATTTTTGAGACTCAAAATGTGGTTTTAGTGTCAGGGTTACAATTAGGTTATGGAAAGGTTCAGGGTCAGGCATTCATTTTTAATGGTTAGGGTACGCGGCTAGGGAAACCATTATGTCAATGAGATGCTATAAACACGCACACACACACACTCATGTGTTTGTTTTCCATCAGTGCGGGACTGTTTAGACCTGAAGACAGTTTACTTTCTGCTTTCACGTGCGATGCATGGAGCTGCCTGTGAGTGGATATTTTCTGCAGTCAGAGTAATCATCTTATGATCAGGTCTGTGTTGATTCAAACACACCAACACTGCACTGGAGTCGTTCTACAGCTGGTACAGTTATCAGGCCTCAAACAGAAAACCTGGGAGACTTTTTGTAAAGATGGCTCCAGCAGATTTTCAATCAGGGCCAAAGAGCACTGAAGATGCTCTGACAGTAACACCGTGTTACTGTTGGTTTTGTCTTCATTCAAATCATAAATCAGGGGTGGCAAACTTACAGGCCCAGCAAAGCTGGACAGACATTAGGAACTAAGCAAAGTGATGCTGGTTTTTCCTTTCAGCCGTTGTTCATTGTGGAGGACAAAAGCTCAAACGTGTCTCTGACCTCATGTGTGTCCTCCCTGCTCGTAGCAAACACATCAAAATAAGGCTTTTATGCAAACACTGAATACAAATTTGCTTCCTTGAAAAAGTTACAGTTCAGTATTGAATATTACATAAAACAAAAACTGGACACTGTGCCTGTCACACCGACACAGAGGGGAGCTTCCCTGGTCCAGATCACAAAGTGACTCTGACACCCCGTCACAGATACTCTGTATTTGCATGTAAGTGTGACTCTAACCAGTGCAGACGCAGGGCATGCAGGAAGGCTGACAGCCCCTCCATCACGAGCAGGATGGCGACTGTTAGCACGGCGAAGAATGCGAAGATGATGGCCAGGCCGAAGAACCCGCCCCCGCTCCTGGATGAGAGGCCGAGGTGCATCACCATGGACCAGAGCACCTCTGAGAGCTCTGTGCAGTCGTGACAACAAGGTTTACAGTGAATATCCAGCAGTAAACAACATTACTCAGCATAGTTCTGTTTCTCTGAATGTTTATGATCATCAACAACACAAAGCTGTGTGAGAGTCGCTACTAACGTGCATGAGCCAGGCTGAGGGCCCACAGGCGCAGGTAAGAGGCTGTGTTGGAGATGCACCCCAGGCAGTACTCTATGGTGTGGATAGCCTGGTGGACAGCTACATCGCCGAAATCAAACTGTAGTGAGAGAAGGAACAGCGTGAGCACAGGAGTGTGTACATGCAGGAGGTGTGACCATAAAATCGAACCAAACATTGGCCCAGTTTCTCTTCAGATTAACTTCAGGTCACTTCCTGAACGTGTTCACGTGTGCTCTCACAGCAGATGTAAACTCCTGTTTTCAGCAGGCTTCAGGACTTCTTAGTTGGAGAATCCATCAGGTTAGAAGTGTATGTAGCCCCATACAAATAAGCCTGTCTTCATGATGATGACGAACTCTCTGACCACACCTTGTTCTCTGGATCAATGTTGAACATGTTTCATTGTTTAGAATCTGAGATGTAGTTTAGGAAGGAGAGCATGCTGCAGGGTAACCTTTGTTTATGTAGGAGGAAGCCCTCACACATGCTGTGTAGCATAACTCAGCGAGCATGCTAATCCAGAGAGCTGGGAAACAGCTACTTCTGCTGCTGACAAGCTGCTTTGACCTTTGACCTCTGCCTGTGACTTCTCTCATCAGCTTTAAAACAAAGAGCAGAGAAGTTTCTTCGTCACAGCCAGATCACAGCTCAGGGAGGTGTTTGTTTATTGTAAAGCCCGCGCACTTCCTCCATTTTCTCCATCCTGGAGCGAGGCTAGCCTTTCCTGTGTGGAGCGAGCAGGGAGGGGGAAACATGGCAGTCAAACGCTCCGTGTAGCTTTTGTTCGGTTTTGCTTGGCGCTGATCTGGTTTCCTCTTTCCATGCTCCCCTTTTGTCTTTGGATCAGACAAATGGAGTTCATGGAAGCAGGAGTCATTGTTCCCATTCAAAGGATCACTAATGAAAAACAGAAGTATGAATACGAGCATGCCATAATGGCACAAAACACTGAGGCCAATGACTGAATTGGAAACATTTCCGCTGATAGTGGAAACAAAAGGTAGACTTCTGCTCAGGTGACAGCTTGAAATTTGGGCTGTACCTGACTGACTATGGACGCAGCTTTAGGGGCGAAACGGTGAGATGGGGGCAACAACTCCGGTTGTGCCGAAGTACAACTAGATGGATTTTAGTGAAAACTGACCCTTGACCTGTTGCTCTTTGATCTGGTCACAAAGTAACAACTGTTGCTTCATCTTTTCCCAGTTACTGGATATCTGAACACGTTCTGCGTTTTTCCATAATGATGACTGTGGCTCTGGATGAAGAGCAGGTCATCTCCTCATTGGAAGGCTGGTGGTTTGATCCCTGCCTGCTCCAGTCTGCACACCAAGTATCCTTATAAAGTGCTTTAGAATAGAAAAGCTCTATATACGAACTCAACACACCTGTCACAGGGCGAGAGGCTTTTTCACTCTGTCATGCAAACAAACATGTACCTTCATTCATGCATGCCTGGCAGTTCAGGATTAAAGCACATTTAAACAATTCAAACATGACAAAAACCAAATGAAGCAAGCCAGCATTCAGACATGCTCAGGAAACGTTAAACTCTGAATCTTACCGGCTCTTCCTCTGAGTGCTTGAAAGTAAGCAAAGGTGAAAGGTCAGTGGTGCGATCCACAATCAAATCTTTCAGAAGTTTTCATCACCCAGATTTAATGGGACATGATCCAAGCGAGGACGTGTGTGGAACTCATCAATAAGATGTCTCGCTCTGTAACCCGTACACAATCATTCAGTTCTGTCATGTTTATGATGTGAATGATGTGAATAAGAGCTCAGGTTTGTTCCCAGAATGCTTAGGTCTCATACACAACTGTTATTCTGTGCAGGTTTTTAAAAAGTGACGAGTCCCTGTAGTGTAAACTAAAATTCTGATGTTACAGTCATGGTAAAAAGAAACGACACCTCTAACATCCCTGAAGCCCACCTCAGTGAAGAGCACGGGACACGCTGCACCATGTCATCACTCATTTAACCTGAAACACTCTTCTTCCCACTTCATGCACAGATGTCTGAAGGTCCCACCACAGCATGTCAGTCACTGACTGGGCCATTACGACACCTCCAACTCCTGCTGACCCCGTGTCAACCGAGCTTCAGCCGTCAGACAGGTGACACCTCACCTGACGCTATAATACTTTGGTATACGAAGACGTTTATGGTCAAGCTGTGAGATGCTCAGGCTGCAGAACAAGCTTTATGTTTTTTTGCCGTCTCTCTGAGCATTGCACGGACTTCCACTTTTAGGAAGACTGTGGCTTTGTGTTAACATACAGCGTAAAGCTTGAAGGCCAAGTTCTGCTTCGCAGAGGTGGTCACACCTGCTGCTACTTAACCTGCTAAAGGCTGAACTTCCTCCACTCACTGCTTCTGCAATTTAGCTTCATTCTTGTCAAATAATAATGACACGGTGTAATATGTCACATGCTGTTGGTCGTCTGAGGTTGTGTTTACCTGCTAAGGCCAGATGATTCTGTATTATGTGGTGACTAGGGCTGCTCGATTATGGCAAAAATGATAATCACGATTATTTTCACTGACATTGAGATCTCGATTATTTGACAATATTTATTTAACAATAACAATTTGTTGAATAATGACTTTAAAGATTGTCAAAAAATAGAGTGCAAATACTGATAACAGTGCAAATGTTTGCAATATAAGAAATAAATGAAAAATGTAAACATCTGTTTAGTGAGCTTTGCAGTGTTGCTCTGTGGTGCAGCTACACTGTAGCAAATTTTACACACTGTGTCTACTTGATCCACGTCTGACTGAACCCATAATGTTTCCACACCACTGAAGCTTTTTACCTCTTTTCAACCAACGGCCGTCACTCTCCTCTCCAAATAACTTCTGCTGAGCTTCCCTCGGGTCCTCTTAATCAGCGGTCCCCAACCCCCGGGCCTCGGACCGGTACCGGTCCGTGAGTCGTTTGGTACCGGGCCGCGAGAGTTGAGGCTCAGGTGTGAAATGTTTGGTTTTCAGGGTTTTCAGCGTTATTTTGTTATCGTTTTTATCGTTTACTCGGTTTTCCTGGGTCTTTTCACGTGTGTCATGAATAAATTTTCTTTTTTTCGGTACCGGTACTAGTTTTATTTTGTTGTATTTATCCGCGACACCTTAAAGGCCGGTCCACACGGAGCAGCGCGAGAGTAAAGCACGAGGGAGGGGCTAATAATCGGCTCAGTCATTTTTAATGATCGTTGAAAGCCCAGATCGTAATCGAGATTAAAATTCGATTAATGAGCAGCCCTAGTGGTGATGTGTAAAACCTTTAAAGTGGGTGTCCTGTCTTCTTACCATGACTCAGTTTTTAACAGGAACCTCCCCTCTTGTGTTTCCTGTCTGAGCCACAGTGGAGTGACGCATTGATATGCAGAACCAGCTTCCACACCACTTCAACTTTAACTCGACTTCCAAACAGGGATGTGAGAGTTGCATCGCATGGACCCACTGTGCTTTTCCACACGGTTCACAGGTTTGATTCTCATATTAAATCGTCAGGATCTGGAAGTAACCCTTCTAAGGAAGCCAGACGGATCTCCAGAGAAAGTCCCAGAACATTACATATTTACTTTGTGAATGGATGATAAATGCAGCCTTGCTAACTGTGCAGTGTAAGTCATCACGACAAAAACACTCAAGATTTATTATGAAGAGAAGCCAGAGACACCCGACCCCTGTGTCACTGACTGAAACAAAGGGGGTGGTTCTCGTTCATATTTATGTTCCTGAAATGGAAGAGCCATCTTTTTTCATTTGCTGTGATCACGTCACTGTAATATCTCTATAAAGGGATATTAGTGTGTTTATTTCAGTCCATTTGCACCTGAAATAAGCAGCCATTGCTCTATATGTCCTATCTGAAACATGGAGCTGCAACATTTTGTGCTTTGTGACCTCTGGGCATCTGTGGGAGCCCAGGGAATAGTCAGAGCCCATATGACGCTGAAAGCATCATTCACATCACAATCCTACTAAAATATATATTCGAAACAGAAACCAATTCAAAGCAGAATCTGAGAGAGGACAGAATGTGGCAGTGATGAGACTCACCTCATCGCCTTCTTCTGAGTGCTGGGAGAGCTGGTCGTGGTCCATGATGCCAGCTTCGTCTTCTGTGGGCCCGTTGCCCACCCGCACCCCTCCAAACTTCTGCGTGCCCTGTTGAGTGAGTCCGGTGCATGATGAGGACACGCCTGTTTGCTCTAAAGACTGCTCTAGATTCTCTGCAGGGGTTTCTTCCCTCTTCTGTGACTAGATACAAAAGCCACAAGAGCTGTGTCGAGCTTAAAGCAAGCCTTAGGATGATGCTTCCTTCTTAATTTACTCCAATTTGTAAAACAGGACACCCACAAACCGAGAAAAATAGATATATTTACCACCTTATCAAGTATAATGGTTCAAATTTCAATAAGCAATCGTTCACTGGAGAGCAAAATAGTCTCACTGGTTCAATCACAGCTGAGCACAAAGACCTGAAGACCCGTCCAGCTAACAGCTGTACAGCTCCCAGATCTCATCATCATTCGTGTGAGATTTACAGCTGCTGGGAAACAAATACTGAAGCATGGCTAAAAGCGTTTTTGTGACCTTGAAGTAATCTTAAATTTGAAAAGCAAAACCTGCAGTTTCACCATGTGTCCAAAGGCTGTGTGTGATAATATCAGCTAGCTGTAACACAGCTAACCTACATGAATTTGGGAAGGTGGTTTAATGTGACAGCACAGTCACCTGGCAGCAAGGTTGTGGGTTTGAATCCACTGGTGCCTTCAGTTTATAGGCTCTCCCTGTCCTCCCACTGTCCAAAGGAGGCGTGTTAGCTTTATAAGTGATTTTAAACTGGCTGTCTGTGTCAGCCCTTTGAGAGCTTGGCAAACCTCGTGGCCTCTGGGTCAAGAGGAAAACTACGGTGTCATTTGATGGTTGGGATTTTCTCTGAACGATTGTCTTTCCCTCACAATATAACGATATAAAAAACTGAATTGAACAATGGGGCTGGAATCATTACTGTGACAGCTGTGTTCTGCTGATAATGACCACAGTTTTCCACTAATGGTCAAATGTCCCTTTGACCAGACAGGCCTGATGGGAAAAAGTCCTTCTTGTGGCTAATTTGACCAAATTAACTGAAGCATCAGAAAAGAGCTGCAGAGACAGTCAATTTCTGATGAGCTACTCAGTTTGGATCATTTTGGCTCGTGCAAAACAAACAAACAGTGAATTATCTGTCAGAAAGCAGAGTTATCCACAGCGTGTGACTCACAGTCATTAGCGAGCGTTCAGACTCACGCCACACTCGGCCTGTCACGTCCACTTTGAATGGCGACAGTGAAAACACTTAGTCTGACACTTCATAACTGGGTTCACAGCCCAATGACATCAGTCTTTATGATCTATGATTGCAGCCAGCTGGCTAATCTTTTCTTGTTTGCTTAAGTAGTCCCAAGTGTTTGTTTCGCCCTCTTCAGACAGTTTGTGCTGTGCTGCTGTGCTGAGAGCAGACTGTTTGTTGGTGTTAATAAATAGAAACTCCTTTTCTAAACTAATGTTTGCCATAGTGTTGCTTATTGGCCGTCTTCTCCCAGAAGAGAAGCATTCAGGCAAAGTACTGTGTAGTGAAAAACAACCCTGCTCCTAAACATAGAAATCAGTACAAACTAAGCCAGTTAGGTCTGTTCAGACAATGTTGATAAAAACTTTTAAATACATGCAGAAAGTTGCATAGTCCACAGTCACCTCTCTTACAACGTGTGAGCATGTATAACACTGCTAAAGCTCATCTGCTCGACATGTAAAGATCAGGCCCCACATCTCACAAAGCTACGAGTTATAAAGAGTCTTTGTGAGGTTTTAACTCTGCTGATCTTCAGTGAATGAGATCCATAACCAGTGAGAGATATGAAAGCTCCAGGTGGCATATCTACCAAGGTAGCACTCGGTAATGGTCGTCATCATTTTGGATAGAAAACTGCCAAATATACAGTTAAGACAACTGAATCAAAGTATCATCGAATTTTAGGGTGTCCTTTGTCTGTGAAGTAGTTATCGTACATTTCTCGCCAAAATATCAACGTTTCCAAAGCTGGCTTTAAGCAGTTTTCATGGCAGCACAACCAACCACGTTACACAATACAATGTGCATTGAAATGAATGACAGGAGTAAGAAAACAAAAGGTTATATCAAAGGTTATAACTTAACAGTAACTTAACAGTAATGAAAGATAGAAGTAGGGTTCTAGTTGTGGTCAGATGCACATACCAGGTGCTTTTTCCACAGGTGCTGACGCCGAAGCACCATAGTTTTCACAATCAGCATACAGGGAACACATGCAAGGGCAATCAGCACCAACAAAACCTGGATCGCCACCTAAAGATTCAAAGAGAGAGGTTAATTAAGAAATCAGTATTGTACAAACAGGTCTTGGTCTAAAACAGTACCTCAAACTGTAAATACACAGCACAACATAATAGATTGTCTGTTGCATCTAAACACTGACAATGAAACCCACAAGACTTCAAAATACGAGCTCTGCTGTGCTTTAAAAACCTAACATGCTCTAATCGATCACATGTAACTAAAAATAACAGAAAAACTACAACTGCTGCCAGATCTTCACCTTCATCTTGCAACAAGAACTGATAACTAACGAACAACTAATGTTGTTAAACAACAGCTTGTAGTGGCAGACATCCAAGAAAGGGTCTCCAGTATGAAGAGCTGGACAGCACCAGGCCCCGACATGGTTCACGCCTACTGGCTGAAGAAGCTGACTGCACTCCACGAGCGTCTGGCAGCACAAATGAACCAGCTGCTAGTTGATGAGAGACACCCGGAATGGCTAACCGAAGGCCGGACAGTCCTGATCCTCAAGGACCCCCAGAAGGGACCGGTCCCCTCCAACTACCGACCAATAACCTGCCTCAGCACCACGTGGAAGCTCCTGTCAGGCATCATAGCAGCTAAGATGAACAGGCACACGGGTCAATACATGAGCAAGGCACAGAAAGGGCCAAGAATACCAGAGGCGCAAAACACCAGCTACTGGTCGACTGAGCAGTCAGCCGAGACCAACCTGTGCACTGCCTGGACTGATTACAAGGAGGCCTATGACTCAATGCCCCACACCTGGATCCTGGAATGCCGAGAACGGTACAAGATCAACAGGACCCTGAGAGCCTTCGTCAGGAACTCAATGGGGATGTGGCAGGCAACACTGGAGGCCAACCTCAAGCCCATAGCACAAGTCACCATTAAGTGCGGGATGTGCCAAGGAGATGCTCCTCAGGCAGCAGAAACCCAAGAAAGAGGAGGGAGACGAGGAACCATCATGGAAGGACAGGCCCCTGCACGGTATGTACCACCGGCAGATAGAGGAGGTGGCTGATATCCAGAAATCCTACCAGTGGCTGGACAAAGCTGGACTGAAAGACAGCACAGAGGCACTAATCATGGCAGCACAAGAACAAGCTCTGAGTACAAGATCCATAGAGGCTGGGGTCTATCACACCAGGCAAGACCCCAGGTGCAGGCTGTGTAAAGATGCCCCAGAGACAATCCAGCACATAACAGCAGGGTGCAAGATGCTAGCAGGCAAGGCATACATGGAACGCCATAACCAAGTGGCCGGCATAGTGTACAGGAACATCTGTGCCGAGTATAACCTGGAAGTCCCGAGGTCAAAATGGGAGATGCCCCCAAGGGTGGTGGAGAATGACCGAGCTAAGATCCTGTGGGACTTCCAGATACAGACGGACAAAATGGTGGTGGCTAACCAACCGGACATAGTGGTGGTAGACAAACAGAAGAAGACGGCCGTAGTGATCGATGTAGCGGTTCCGAATGACAGCAATATCAGGAAGAAGGAACACGAGAAGCTGGAGAAATACCAAGGGCTCAGAGAAGAGCTCGAGAGGATGTGGAGGGTGAAGGTAACGGTGGTCCCCGTGGTAATCGGAGCACTAGGTGCGGTGACTCCCAAGCTAGGCGAGTGGCTCCAGCAGATCCCGGGAACAACATCGGAGATCTCTGTCCAGAAGAGCGCAGTCCTGGGAACAGCTAAGATACTGCACAGGACCCTCAAGCTCCCAGGCCTCTGATAGAGGACCCGAGCTTGGAGGACTGACCGCCTGCAGAGGCGAGCGGGGAATTTAATGTTTTTGGGTTTTTTAAATGAGAAAATCCTAAATAAATTCAAACTTGTGCACTGAATAATTTTTCTTAGTCATTAAAGATGAAAGATGCTGAAAACAACTCAAAGGAATCATTAAAAGCCAAAATTACCATGATTTTAAGCCCCGTAATGAATGTATATACCTGACCCCAACTGTACCACTAGAGCGTTTCACTAACAACAAAGCATCCGTGCAGGTTGTCCATGTTCATGTTTTAAGGTGGAACTGTTGTATACTGTGTTATAATATATAGTATATAAATGAACCCCACTAGGTGCCAGCAGCACAATCATACTGAGAGGTGAGAATGATAAGGAATCACACACACACACACACACACACACACACACACACACACACACACCTCGATTTAAAACTGCAAAAAAAATTAACAATTTAAAACCTCGGCATACTGACAGAACGACACGACCTGCACCGTTATGAGAAGAGATGGTATCAATAAGCAAAGCTCAAACTGCTCCAAGCTGCTCTGTTTGTTTTTGTTCTACAGTGAAGCTCGACCTCAAGTTTCTGAAAAAAGGTCATCAGGAAAGTAAAGCACAATGAAATATCTGTTTGCTCTGTAGAACTGCTGAGAGAACGTCCATGCACGACTCTAACATGTCAGTGTGACGCGGATATGTTAGGAGAGGGTGGGTAATGGAAGGAGCACCTGTCCCTCGTAGAGGCGTTTGCTGGTGGGGTCACCGTAGTTGAAGAGACACATGTTGATAAAGTGGATGAGCAGGCTGGGAGCATCCTTGGAAGTCCGGGCGGTGTAGGCTGTCCACTTGTAGAAGATCAGCAGGGCAAGGTAGCCAAACAAGCTCGACATGAAGACAATCTCTGGGATGAAGCCCAGGAAAATGTTCAGAGGCTTCTTGAAGTACCTGCAGCGCAGTGAGGTCACACATGAACAACAGAACAGCATGGTGCCTGTTTGAAAATGATCAGCTGTGAATATGAAGCTAGACGGCACACAACCTTAAAAGTGTTTGAACATTCAGTATCAGCCCTCAGTGTGACTCTTACAGGTGGTTGAAGAGGCTGAGAGACACTCCAAATATCATGTGGATGACGCCCAGGATGACGGACATCTTCATCTTAAAGGAGTTGAGGAAAGTCAGCTTGTTGGTGGCAATATTCCAGATCTGCAGAGAGCACACAGCAGGTTCAACGAAGAGCACCCTGCTACTCTGACACAAGTACAAACAGGCTGACATACAGGTCTGTGCTGACCTCTCAGTGATCTCAGACAGATGGTCTTTTTTAAAGGTACAGTTGTTAGTTTATGAAACAGCTCTGGAGCTGGATATGAGGCGATATGACCAAAAGTATTTATCACCATATACATCTGAAAATTTGCGATAACGATATAACTGACGATGTACTTGACACGAGACAAAATACTTTACAACTCCACAACTTTATTAGTGAAAAAAAACCCCATCAGTGTATTTTCACTTCAACAAGCAGCTGTTTAAGTGCATTAAAGTTCTATAAAAATGTAACAGTGCAAATGCAAACTCCTCACTGACAGTTTAACCAAAAGGCATTTCCAGTGGAAACTGGCCGACATATCCTCAGCATAACCATGTATAACATCCACAAAACTTAAAAAGAGGTGATACACACACAGTACGGTAATATTATGTTGAAGCGCAGTACGTATCACTCCGCGAGGCTCCGCCTACGATAGCCGTAATGCTCCCACAATCCATCAAGCGGTGCGGCTTCGTAGCTCAGCAAAGTCGTACTGAAACATCTGACAGATTTTCGAGCGCCGTGCACATAAAATCGTTTCGAGGTCAGTAAACACAACCAGAGTTCATACATAAGGCACACGGGATTATAAGGGGCTTTGTCGATTTCCAGAAAAATCAAAGGATTGATTTTAAGTGCGCCGTATTTTCCAAACAACACGGTAATAACGACGGCCCGCTAGCATGCGCTACCAAAAATAGTGCTTTGTTGTGTATCTGACGGACGAAAGATAAACCAGTTCCACACCAGTGAAGCTGCAGCATTTTTACAAACCAGTTCTGGTTCATCTGTTTCACTCAACGATCCGCTTTCGCCGCCATGCTTTTTCCGTCATGCGCGTATGAAAACAAAGGCACTGCGCCTGCGCGTTTTACCCATATTCTATCGCCATATTTCATTTTCTTATCGTTGCCCAACATTATACCGGTATCACCGTGAACGGTATGATGTGGCCCAGCCCTACTGGATACTGCAGTTTTCTCAGACAGGGTTCAGGGGCTGGTGACTCATTGTGTCACACGGTCTCACATCTGTGGGGTGTTTAATCATCTCTGTAACACAGTGAGGACCGACAGCTATGGAGCTCTGACAGGAGCGATTGTTGCTTGGCTCACAAACTGGATTATTGGCATTCCTATCAGTGATTTCACCAGCCCAAGATGAAATGAGCAGGTTGTCGTGCACTGGAGACAATTAGAGCCGGTAATTTGATTTAGTTGTTATAGTGAGTACATGTATTGTTTACCGGGTCAATTCCGAGTGGATAAGGTCCACCGAACACGCCGGGAATAGCAGGATCTAACTGGAGAACTGCATTTCCATCAAGAGTCTCAGACCTAGGACAGACGGAAGGAGAAGAACTACAATCCATGCTGCAAGATGAGAAACAGTTTAGAGCACGAACCTGCCAACACACACACACTGGCCACTTCATTAGTTACACCTGGCTAGTAACAGGTTGGACCCATATGATAACGTTGACTTCCTGTCTTACTTTGACAGTCAGTTATCTTGTGTTTTGTATAATTAGCTTTGCTGCATTTAAATTCTAACACTCTTAAATATGAGAGTTTGTGCAGAGATGCTCTCCTGCATGTTATTAACTTACTGCTACCTTCCTGTTAGCGCTGACATCAAACAGGCATTTTCACCAAAGAGCTGCTGCTCACTGAGATGATCTCAGCGGACCAGACCGTCTGGCACAACAACCATGCTGTGTTCAAAGTGAGTGATTGGCTGATTAGATAACTGTTAACAAGCAGCTGAACAAGTGCTCCTGACAAAGTGGCCAGTCAGCAGATCCCTGCCCGCTCTGACTACAGAAGCCTCCTTTAGGTTCCTGCAGGCTCACACACTGAACTGGATTACATGCATCAGATTCGTTTTTTCCTCTGAGGCTGTGTTTGTGCTACTGTTGGTAATTTTAAAGGTTTAGCTGTTACGTCCCAGCTACAGCCGGGTCGTAACAATAGCGTTTTCAGTTATTTCTTGGAGACTGAAGTAAGTTTAATCTTCTAGTTGGCTGCTTCGAGTTAGTGCTGGGGATGACATTCAGTACTGGTTTTAGTCTGGTAGTGGTCACAAACAGGAAAAGTGGAAATCTAAACTTCATTTGTGATGCAGAAAAAGCCTGAACTCACGTCCAGTTGGCTCCTTTGGGGCCAAACATGGGCCTGACACTCCAGCCAGACCCAAACATGTTGAGTGACTTAGAGAAACAGTCATTGTAAATGACGCCTGTGTAGACGGAGAAGATCCCCATCAGGAGGATGATGTAGCGCCCAGCAAAAATCATGTTGAACATCTACAGAAGCAAACAGAAAACACTGGAATATGATGCTTCTGCTCACTGACTGAACAACGATGATTTACTATATTGGATTACTTCTACTTGTATTAACGTACCTCATTGTCACTCTTCTGGGCGAGGAGGCGACTCTCTCGAATGACCAGGTAGAGGGCAGCGCAGGTCATCAACAGGCCGTGGCCCATGTCACCAAACATGACAGCAAACAGGAAGGGGAAGGTGATGATGGTGTACGGAGCTGTAGGCACACAGGGATCCAAACAACCATCATCCAACTCTGCTGCTGAAACTTCACTAAAATGTTTGGCTAGAAGCAAATTTTACACACAAAGTAACGAATCCTTTGTAACAGAACCAAAATCGCTCTGTTCGTTTGGTTGACACATTAGTTTGGCCTGAACACTGAACTGCTGCAGAGTCAGCGAGAGCTTCACATTCACCGCAGTCACAGTCACAAGTTTGAATGAACAGTCATTTCAATATGAGCCAATGACCTGGATTGATTTCCCGGTAACTTCCGATGCCGTAGGCGTCCACAATATTCTGGAAGCCTGATGTGAACTTGTTGGTCTTGTTGAAGGTGGGTGGAGTCTGTTTGGTCTGCATCCTGTTTAGGATGGAGGGCACTGTTGATCCACTCCTCTCCTGTGAAATAAAGCCTCGTTTAGAAAACCTCAGACCTCAGTGAGTTCCACAGTCACTGTGACCTCGCCCTGTACCAAGAACATGGCCATGTTCCTTATCCACAGGTCCACAGAGCAGTGAACGTTGTCTTTACAGCTAAACACAGAGCATCTCTCAGATACTGTCCTCATCCAACTATCAGCGGTCCCCAACCCCGGGGGCTCGTTTGGTACCAAGAATTGAGGCTCAGGTGTGAAATTTATGGTTTTGATCATTAACTCGGTTTCCCTGGGTCTTTTCCCGTGTGCTATGAATAAATCTTCTCTTGGTACTGGTGCAAGATACCACAGTTTGTGTCTCGGTCCTATCACTTTATTGTGTTGGATTTATCCGCGACACCTTAAAGGCCGGTCCGTGAAAATATTGGTCCGTGGTGCAAAAAAGGTTTGGGACCGCTGAGGTAACTTATTAGTCTAAAGAGGGAGATTCCCCGTCAGGTGTTCTTTAAGCATTACGCAGCTTTCTGAGGCTTTTGTTGCCCTGTGCCAACTTAAATGTAAAATATGACATATAGAAGTGTTTTTCTATACATTCCCTTCCATTCTGCTCAGACATCTCTTATCTCTGCTATGCAGATGATATTCAGCTGTACAGACAGTTTTCTTCAACTAAATCGCGACAAACTGAAATAACTGTCTGTGCAGCAGAAAGATGTGTCTGGGATAAAGGAGACACTTGGACGTGGTGGTTCTGTGGCCCGTGTGGATGCACATGTGAAGACTCCTTCCTGTGTTTATCATCTCAAACATAAGCTGCACTGTGTCACGTCCTGAACTGGAAATGATTATTCACACTGTTGTTTCATCACATTTGGATTCCTGCAGTGCACACGTGTCTTAGCAAAACCTCCGTAGAGCGTTTGCTCAGAATGATCCCGACAGGCTTCGACAAAATCCTGATGCAGCTGCACTGGCTTCTGGTTTATTTCAGCGTGCAATATAAGATTCTTTTATTGACATGGAGAGCGTTTCACGTGCAGGCACTAGTTTATATCAGAGAGCTTCTGCACCCATGTGTACCTCGTGGTCCTGTGACCAGGGCCGGCTTGCGGCGCCCCACACTGAGCTGAACACAAAAGGATCAGAGCCGTGTGTTCAGTGGGCCCACGCTCTGGAACTCTCTCTTCGGACTTCAGATCAGTCGCCTCCAGTTAAAAACATATTGTTTTAAACCTGTTTTGCATTCATGTTTTTTATGCATTGTTGGCTCTTGTGAAGCACTTCGTGACTGTATTTCTTAAAAGGTGCCATAAAGTTGTACTGACTTACTGCTGGGTAGTAACTATGGGAACATTTCAACAACATCATCTGCTCTTTGCACTTCTGATTAGATGCAAACTGCACTTGGTTCACCCGTATTTATACATGTGTAATGACAATAAAGTTGACTCCTAACTAAGACACAGCGATTCTCTTTGGAGACATTCTAGTTTCTTTTTGCTTACTTTATAAAAATTCTCCAAAGTAGGACTAGAGATCCCAACCTGAGTCCAGGTTTGTGACCGTGGGTGTCTGTGGGCTCAGATGCACAGCACGAGAAGCAGAACAGAGAAATGTGCGACAGGCTGCAGAGACAGGACCAAACTCACCGTTCCTCTGCGCAGAGCAAACTGGATAGAGTCCAGGTCTGAGACAGGACACCACACCTCAGCTATCAGACACTTCTGCGTGACGTCGATGTTGCAGAGGTTCAGCGTGTGGTAGATGGCCTTCATCTTCCTCACCTTGATGAACCACACCCGCATGGTCTTAGAAGCAGCCTGCAGCACTCGCTGACGGTGGTCCTCGGTTTGGTTCAGCACCTACAGCAGCAGCGTGGAAGGATGTTTCATTCTGTTAACCTGACGCACGCTTCTTTGATTTTTCACGTTTTCTTGTTGAAGTTTGAAATGTGCAGTTTTAGCAGTGCAGAAAACCTCCGTCACATTCATTCACACAACTTGTATTTCAGTGTACTGCTCGGCTCTGCTGTGGCAGGGCGTCTGGCAGCATCAGACCGGTGCAGACCTTTCAAGCAGAACAGGCTTTTTTCCTGTCTTAATAAGGAGAAACGGGGGAACCACAGCACATAAAGGACGCGGCTCTTTCAGAGATAAGACGTGTAGCACAATGAAGCCTGTCTACACTACAAGGGCCTTTGTAATTTGACTGGAAATAAATGTTCTCAAGGAAAGGTGCAGGAGCCAGAGCGTCTCATGGATTTCATCTGGTTTAGTGAGCAAAAGAAGTGCACAGCTAACAGCTCTGCGGCATCTGTCCAGGGTCGACTCCTCCCCTCTGCTTTATTTTTACAAGACTGTAAGCATTTGGCTGATGCCTGTAGAGCACACATAACTTACCATTTGGAGGTCATCGATGCGGCTGTTGACTCCAGCCAGCATCTCCTTCCTCTCCTGCGGGGTCTCTGGGCAGGGGTAGAGCGACGCACGGAACCTGCAGGAACGCCACAGTCAGCCTGACCACACAGCGTGCAACACACCGGTCGCAGCAGATGGCCCCGCCCCTCCCTGACTTTATCACAGGCCATGTTACACTGGACATGTCGTACATTTGACTAGAATAAGATCAAAGCCTTTCGTGACGACAGACAGACGGGACATGTGTGTCACTCTCTACAGAAAATGTTCCACTCTGTGGATTTACAGCTGTCACACAGCGCTCACATTCCCACCTTCACTAGCACTCAGCTGTGATGCTACTATGTGATCGTGAAACGGTGTCAGGACTAAACATAAGCATGACGCTGCGTGATTCTACATTCTAAAACCTAACAGTGACAGCAGCAACGGTTTTTCATGCAACACCCACCCCTCACAGATCTTCTTCACCCGGTTCTTCAGCTGGTCACCCTGGAAGAAGATGATGAACACTGACTTGTGGACTTGGTCTCCCTGTTGAGAGGGAACGAAACATTAGATAGTGCTCTGTGTTTAACCCCACATGTATTATTCATCTGCTTTATTATCCCATTCTTGTTTGAAATTCTGTTCTCACTACTACTCTCCACAGCTCCACTGTTACTATACTCACTGTGGTGGGGTCCTCTAGTGGGTCCTCGATCTCTGCCTTCCTTAAAAAGACATTACCACGGCACACCCTCCACAGCATCCGCTCAAAGGTGGGAATCCTCTCCCTGCTGATCACTCCGGCCACAAAACTGCACAGACACGAAACCAGCACGACAGAAACGTCGCAGCTTATAATCCATCACAGTTCACGAGTGACAAATGTGACCTTGAGATCCACTAAGACACAGGTGTCCAACTCCAGGCCTCAAGGGCCGGTGTCCTGCAGGTTTGAGACGTGTCCTTGGTCCAACACAGCTGATTGAAATGGCTCAATGACCTCCTCAACATGTCTTGAAGTTCTCCAGAGGCCTGATAACGAACTCATCATTAGATTCAGGTGTGTTGACCCAGGGGGAGATCTAAAACCTGCAGGACACCAGCGCTCGAGGCCTGGAGTTGCCTATCCCTGCACTAAGGGATCAGGATCATATATTTGATGAAATTCTGACGAGTACTGTGCCGACACGCCTTTAGCCAAATGAGCTAAACATGCAAACTCCCAGAGAGAGCAGTTATAAGAGACAACAGTCTCAGTACTTCTTCAGTACTGTGGTGAGCATTTAGCATCTAGCTCCGCTTGCATCAGCAGATAAGGTTGGCTTTTTCTGCTGTTTAGACTGACTGTAGCTCAGCAGGTACAGCAGGTTATCTACTAATCAGAAGGTTGACGGTTCGATCCCTGCCTGCTCCAGTCTGCCTGCCAAACACTGTTCGACAAGATGCTAACCCCAAGTTGCTCTCTGATGCATCCAGTGGAGTGTGAGTGTTAGAGAGAAAGCCCTTCTGCTTGTGTGAACGAGGCGCGTTGTATAAAGTGCTCATAAGAGGAAGTCCTTTCACCATTAACCATTCCTTCACTGTGGACTTTATAGTTCCCCAGGATCACTAACCATGAGAGAGCCAGAAGATCATTTTTAGTTTTTAAATTGATGTTACTTTATACATTTATCCTTATTATTTACCCCAGTCTGAGTGGGGCCCCGCGGCCCCCCTCACTACCCTCCATCAGAGCCGATGACTCCTCCAGCAGGTTAGGATCCTCCATCTGCCAACAAAATAACAAAAAGCACCTCATCAGGTGTAGGAAGTTAGCAGTTAGGCCCATGCATCACACAAAGACTTTTGCACTGCCGCTGCAAGGCCTGTAACAGCTGCACAGGGTGTGAAACATCAAATAAAGAGTTAACACATGTTCCAGTGAGTTACTGCAGAGTGCTGTGACTACTAGAACCATTCTTTTACATTTTATGTTCGAAAGACGTTTTTAGGTCAGCTAGTCACAAATTCGTTGCACAGACTCATGTGACCTGGAGCAGAGCAGGTGCATGGAATGGGAAACTGAAGAAGCTTATAGTATTTGTTCAACAGGAAAGTGATCCTGATTAAATAAAACAAGCGCACACAGTACAAGAAGGACAAAGGCAGGACTGAGGCCATACAGCATAGACACACAAGGGAACAGGTGTGCAAACATACAGGTGAAAACAAGGCAGTAAAACTGAGTGCAACACACACTGGACAACAGACTACCAAAATAAAACAGGAAGTAAGGTAACACAGAGACAGCGGGAAACAGGAGCTCCACACTATAACCACGAACAGAACTGGGACCAGGCCAGGACAGAAAAGTCCCAGAGCAGCTGGTTTGTGGGTCTGTCTGCATCCACTCTGGTGCCCAGTAACAGAAAAGCTGGCCTCACATTAATGACTGACTCTGATATTGAAGTTTTTCCCATCATGCTTTTGCAGTTAGTTTTGGGTCCTTTGCACTGTGCTGTGCTGTGTTATCAGTGTCTGAGCCCTTCACTGCACCACTGGTCACTTTGGTTCCACCCGTCCCAGTATGTCTGTGTACAGACGGTGAGAGTAATCAGTGGTTTGTTGTAAACTAGGCTAACGGTGGCGGTAGACTCTGACGGGGACACGCCTGCCTGAGTGTTTCTGTCCTGGTTACGTGTTATGAAAGGGTTTTTTCCTAATCATGGAAATAATTCTGCCATCATGCACTTTGTCTTCTCTCAGGCCTGTTGGTGCATTCAGTCATCCATGTTGAGTTAACCGCCTCCTGCCTGTCTGACGCTGTAGGTTTATCCAGCCTAATGATGCCCGCCCTCACCTGCACTAACATCTCTTTGAGTCTCGTATTTAAAATTACATTTAAAAGCAGCGAAAGGCATAAAACACTAAGTCAAGACTTTAAATCAACTTCAGAGGTTGTGTCTGCTTCCTCTGGCCTCACCAGGCCTGCACCACTGACAGCTGACTGATGTGCTGTCAGTCCACTGTCCCAGAAACTTGAAGGCTGTGGACTGTTTATGGACATAGCTGCAGTTCTTAAATAAAATCTCTCAAAAATGTCTGCACTTCAATGAGATACTCGATGTTTGATTTACAATCCAGTGTTCAGAGGTAAACCTGCAAAACTGTGTTTGTCCCAAACATTCTGGAGGCACAGCAGGCGGCTCCAGACAATGTTGTAGCTGCAAAGCTAATGTCATCGTCTGCTGTCTGACAGGGAACTGCTGCCTTAATCGATGCGTAAACAAAGCCACTCTAACACTCTATGTTCTTCTGTGTAGTGTACGTGTGAGCAAACCTCGTTAAAAAACTGCTGCGTTCGGTGGAGGATGTGTTTGAGCTCCGTCAGCTCCAGGAAGTTCTTCTTCAGGGCTTCCTGGTTGGTGTTTATCTCCTTTAGTTCATTCTCCAGCTTCTCAAATGTGGCCTGCCAAACACACACAGTTAATTGTGATAATGTTGATACGTTATTTTGATAGATACAACATTTTGTACCAACTCAATAAAAGCGATGGACAAGAAGGAAACACTGTTTTGGAAATGGCTGATTACCTCCAGATCAATCATGTCTCTGGGAAAAGGTACTTCCGGGTTCTCTCCAGTGTCCACTGTCGGGATGTTGGCTTTTTTGATCTCCTTCTCAACAAACCCTGTTCATCAAGGAAACTCGGTGATTACCTCGTTACCACAACAAGGGAACAGAAAGTGAGTCAGACTCAGCAGCACTCACTCAGCTTCCTGTCCATCTCCTCGCATCTCCTCACTTCATTCACAAACTTGCGCTGGAACACGTTTACATCTGGATTCAGCTGTTGTTAGAAAAAGACCAGAAATACATGTTTCAAAATGTATTATTGGAATTTGTCATTCACTAAAACCAGCTTACACCATGATTATCAAAAATGACTTCTACATGTCAGTGTCAGTCTGGCACCATTCATACTCACATCTCTAAACTGGACCATGCCCAGTTCTCCCAGCTCGCTCACACAGCAGTAGGCTGCCTCTGACTGGAGAAAGAGCTGGGCCAGAGTCATCTCCTCACTTCTGAACAGTTCCCCCATGATGACCTCTGCACTCCACCTCAGCTAGGATCAACAAACACTGCAGCACCTATGCGGCAAGGAAGAATATACTACTCCAATGGATTTATGAAAAAGTACCAACTCTTAAAGGTTGGCAAAGAGTAGTGTTGGATTTAGTGCCACTGGAATATCTTACATGTATACTGCATTCAAAAACAGATCAATTCTTTAAGGCGTGGGAACCATACTTGAACTATGTGGAACCTGATGTTTCTAATATTATGTTACAAGGATTCTCTTGAGTGTTTAAACTGTAATGGAACTGAGCTGGTTTTTTTGTTTTGTTTTTTTGTGTTTAGTTATCAGTTTGTTGTTTGTTTTATGTTTGTTTATTTTTTGGTTTTGAATTGTACACTGTGTTATGTTATGTAATTATGTATTATTTGTGAAAATAAAAAGTTAAAAGGGAAAAAACAAAAACAAACAAACAAACACTGCAGCAACGACAGGAAGGTTCAATAACAAGTACACAGTGCACAATAACTAGATAATATAGCAAATATACCACAGTCTCATTATACTTGGCTGCCCTCTTCAGACTTTCCTATAATAAAGCGTAGTATGGTTTCAGGTTTATACGGGCTGCAGTTACTAATCATTTTCTTCAGTGTTTTATCTGTAAAATAATCAAATAGTTATTTGTGTCTTTAAACTGTTTGAGAGCGGCTTCCTCACAAGAAAGCTGCAGGTGAAAACCCTGCTGGGGGCATTTCTACACCTGTCCTCTCTGTGTGGGCTTCATCGGGGTCACCTCCCACACACCACAGACATAAGACGCAGTATTAGGACCAACAAAAAAATATTGTTGGTCAATTTGAGAATAAAGTGGGAAATCTGTTTTGAGAAAAACACTGAAATGTGGATTTGACCGTTGTTGTTTGGCTGCTACAGCCTCTACACAATGAGATGCAACATCCTCCTGATTGTATGAGGGTGTATGGATAATCTTGCATCTGTCCATTATCAGCTCTTTTTGTACAAGCTCTCAGGCACGCACTTTAAACTGCACGGTGCTGATGGAAGCGTCCTGCAGCAGCAGGAAGTCAAATAAGACGAGTGCACTGTAAAAACCAAAAGTCCCACTGACACGCCACAGACAGGAAACACCACACACACCTCATAAATCGTATAGAGGATGAATGCACTGGCAGGAGTCTGGTTTTAGCAGGTCTATGTCTCACTCGTGTGCTGTAAGTAAACGGATGATGCTAGAACAGGCTAAAGATGCTAATGCTCGTCTGTCAGACCGGCTTTACGCACGACAGCGGGCTGGGCTCCACACCCCAGGACGATGAAAGCCACATAAGGAATCACCAGGATTAATAATCGTCGACGTCATAAATGTAGTTCCTGTTGGTGATTAGTGCATCAACAGAGGCTTACGGAGCATCGCTGACGTCACTGCATCCCTGCTGATGCAGCTCTGTCCTTCACTGCTCAAGGACGCTGCTGGCTCAGGCCTACAGCCGCTTCATTCACACTCATTTTAAATATGAATAACTATAAACAACGACGTAACTCCGCTGTGTGGCAGGATACCGAGTCCCCACAGCCTCATCCCGTGCCTCTACGAGAACACGAATCACTGCTCGTAAAACTAACCTTGAAACAGACCTCACTGCAAACACAGAGGAGCTGACCACCGCCTCACAGCTCACACGGACAAACGTGGACCGTGGTTCATAATCCTCAAACACCCACCTCCACAGTATCTACACTCACCTCACAAGCTGCAGCTCGTCAGCCCTCTCTTCACACTTCAGTCTCCTCCTGGATGCTGCGGTGGTCCTGCGCTGCGTCAAGTTAGATACACTTCAGCAGGAAACATGTCCGATGGGAGGATTTCAAAGTAAAATGACTGTATCTGTATCTCAGGGATTTCTTTCGTTTTGACGATGGACACAGAAGTGATATTCGAACTTACACATCTCAGATGTGAAGGATGTCCTGCGCAAAACACGCTAATACAGCAAATGGGGAAATCTGTTCAATGGGAATATATTTTGAAAATGTTGAAGGTGATTCACGGCTTTTCTGCGGGATACATCCCTTTGACCTATCACAGTGTGTGGGGTCGATTCTTACTGCTCAGTCCCACCGAGCCCTGATGTCTGAGCATTTTAAATGGTAAATGGCCTGCATTTGTATAGCGCTTTTCTAGTCCATAGGACCCCAAAGCGCTTTACACTACATTCAGTCATCCACCCATTCACACACACATTCACACACTGGCGATGGCAGCTACATTGTAGCCACAGCCACCCTGGGGCGCACTGACAGAGGCGAGGCTGCCGGACACAGGCGCCACTGGGCCCTCTGACCACCACCAGTAGGCAAACATGGGGTTAGTATCTATTTTACATGAAGACACAGAAAACACTGAAAGAGCTCAAAAGCCATCAAGAAAACTTAGAAGCTTTGCATCTACACATCGTTTTTAGCTCCCAAATCTTTCATGAAGAGCTGCATATCAAGTTCTGATTAACTGATTGTCATGTTCTTACTTGTGCCTATACGATGTTTATTACCAGCTAAAGAGCAGAGCTACCAGAGCCCCTCTTCTTAAGGTCTAACAGATGCTGTGTCCACGACTAGCCAAATGTTGAGTCAGTACTAATGAGAACCTGTAGAAAGTTTCCTATTACGAAAGCCACAGTAGTAGTTTCAGCATCTCTCAGTTCCACATGGTGCCGGGTTTAAATCAGGACCCTGGGAGGCTGCCAGTGAGCAATTTTGGAGCATGGAATTCCCTTAATGTACATAAATTACCACAGCAGACGACTGCATGGAGCAGCTTTCTGCCTCATTGTGTGTGCCATGTGTTTTTCATAACGTGTGCCATGGAGATGCCTTCAATAACCAAATATGACTGTATAACTGAAAGATGTTGGCTGGATTTCCACAGATTTAAAATCAGCCTCTTTTAAAAATCATATGTTAAAAGATTTTGTTCTCACAGCTTCTTGACTGTTATTATGAAGCAGCCCAACTTATTTAAATAAACAGCTTTTATCTTTGGGATGGCTGTCATGGCGTAGAGGGCAGAGGTATCCTGTCATCATTAACCTTAACACTCAAAGTCAGTGCTTCAGTAAACTGTCTGTTCTTTACACTGACTCAGTCATAGATATGTACATTTGCAAAGTTTTGTTGCTAAGATTAGATTAGAAGAGATGAGAAATAATTTATTTATCCCAGAATCTGGGAAATTATTGTGGCACAACAGTTAAAGCATGAAAACATTTACCAACTCATTAAGATACAACATCAGAGAACTAACCAGGTCAGATGACAAAAACAAAAATAAAATACAGTAAAGAAGGAGTTTAATTAAATAAGTGTTTGTATGTAAACACGTCACTGTGTGTCTGTAGCAGTTTCTGGGTTGAGTGCACTGCTGGGGTAGTTTTCACATGGCAGGTGAGCATGTTAAAATCCTATTCCATGCTTGCATGCCGTGGGGCAGGAACTGGAGAACAAAGCTGATCAGCTGATCACTCCATGGCTCTGAGAAAAAAGCACAAAGACATCATCTACAGAGACAGTACCCCATAAGGAGACAGCTCTCCAGCAGGTCATGGCTGACTGGAGCTCCATCAGTAAGGACATGGTGATCCCGGAGACAAGTCATCCTGCAGTATGTGAACATGAAAATGAAGTAAGACTTGGAGCATACCTGCTGAAGCTGTTTCTGCTACTTTAGAGTCCCAAATCAAAACAACGGTTAGCTCAAAGCACTTCATATTGTAAGGTGAAGACCCTACAATCATACAGAGAACAATCAGATGAGCCTCTGTGAGTATCACTTGGCAGCAGGGGGAAGGAAAAACTCCCTTTGAACAGGAAGAAATCTCCTGGAGAACCAGGCCCATCTACAGTGACCAGTTGGGGAGGAAGACAGGAAGAGAACCAGAGATTAATAATGATTAGATGTAGAGTGGTGTACAAACACAGGTGAGTGAAGAAGAAATGCAATCGTTAGTCTGCCTGCCTATCTGTTCTCCCGCTACAATCAGCTGATTTCAGCTCGTGTGTCAGAGGAGGAAATAGTAGCGCAGTTTAGAGCACATGGACGAGACTTTTATTATTGTAGGAGAAAGGACGAGATCTGTGGTCATGA